CCATTATCCCTATAAAACCCCAATACAACCCCTATATATCCCCTATATAACCCATTATAGTAGTTTCCATTTTCTTTTCCATTACCCCTATATAACCCCAATATAAATCTAATATTCCCCTCGTGTGCAGGCGGGTGGCTGGGCCTGGGTGGTCCTGCAGGATGAAGTCACTTCGGGCTGGGCCCGGCTCCAAATGGGGGTTCCCCAAAATTGGGGGTACCTTTTCGGGGGTCCCTATAATAAGGATTATAGTATTTTGGGGTCTATGTTAGGGTCCCCCTATTTTGGGAAATTACCAAATAGAATCGGTCACTGTGATACTCCGATATGCGAAAGAAGATGTGGCAGGTCTGTAGGATTTTTTAGTTGCTATCCACAAGCCCGACAATGGCGTGTTTCAATTTGATTTTGCGTACCTTCTCTCTTGTGTGGCTGCTGTGTCTCCCTCTGCTCAGCAGCAAGGTCCAGGCCATGTTGCAGGTCAGAGTCCTGAAGTTTGATGCTACCGAAATGTCCTTTGATTCGGCTCCGCTTGCGGCAGGCTCTTGCCCACCTCTGCATGTGTGCCATGCGAAGAATGTGAGGATTTGCAGCCACAGAAATTAGCGAGAGATAGTTGGCAAGGCCCAAGAGCACCCTGCAATCATGTGACAAGGCAGTCTGGGTGTATGTGGAGTTGAGATCCTCGTTGTGGATCATTACCATTACTCTTACCAATATTACTATTACTATATTACTATTCTACTATCATACTGTTACTACTTTATCATTATTCGTACGATTGTCATTGTTATTATTAATACCATTTCGTGGATCTGCCATGGCTGCGCCGCTGCTGGGCTCGCCTTCGCGGGCCCCGAAGCCTCGCTGCGTCTTTGGCTACCTGCCACTGGGTTGTTGACGGGCTGTTGCGCCCAAGTTCCCAGACCTCCCTGAAGGATCCCAAGAATGGATCCCCCCCAATATGAGCTCAGAATTACATTGGGGAAGCTAGGGGATTATTAGTCGGTTCCATTTTTGGGATCCTTTAGCGGATCTGGGTTTGAGGTTTTTCTGCAGCTTTCTAAGCTTATCGTCCCGTTAGCCTGCACCACAGGCCAGTATGGTCAGAATGCGTGCCTCAGCACGAGGACACAGGAAAGGTCGATGAAGTACGAGACTTTTCGGCAGAAATTTTGATGGCTTGTTCTGCGTAGGCACAGCATTTTGGGCTAGACATACTGCAGACGCCAGTCTACCGCATACATTGGCCTCCTGCATGTTCCAACCTCGGAGTGCGAAAGCCGGTACATCTGGCATTGAAGTTTTGTAATGGATTCGAAGACAGTCTGACTACGACAGTCTAGCTCGTGTCTCAGGAGTAACAGCGAACATCATTGCTGGCTGCATCATCGGCATCCGTCAAACTCTGACTGGCATCGTCAGTGCGACGCTGGTGTTCACCGGATCCAGCTTTCCTGAGGTCACGCACATGTTTTCCTTCGGCATTTGCATGCTGCTTGGATGAAAGCTTGATGGTTGGACCAAGCTTACGAAATGCTGTAGAGGTTGTGAGTATTGGCTAAGGATGTGGTATTCAACCATGGCCGGATCGGCGTTCTACGCGATCTTCGGACGTCTGCAATATAACACCAGTGCCACACAGGAGGTCTGTGCCATTCTCTACGGTGCCATGGCGCAAAATGCGGCCGAGACACTGACCAAGTCTGGGCACCCGGAGCGCATCCCAGCAACAGTGCCTCAGCTTAGCAAAGCTCTGGCTTGAGCAGAGATAATAGCTCTGTTTGCATGCATGTTTGCATAGGTCCTGGCCCTCATTATGGCTGGAACATCTCTGACCGGGCTCTGCAGTGTTCTGCTTGGCAAGCTGGGGGTGGGCAAGGTGGACGGGAAGCAAGCAGCTGTCAGGACGTTTTTGTACCTCCGGGTCAGGCAGTTTTCTGTTTTTGGGCAGGGAAGCTGGCAGGTCATGCTCCGATTTCCTAGTCCTGTTACAAGTGGCTTTCTGGGCACCATCGGCTTCTTCCTTGTGCGGACAGCTCTGCAAATTTCTTCTGGTGCCCCGGATTCTTCTCAAGAGCTGCTGTTGAGGCTAAAGTGGCAAAGGCTTATCACAGCCATAGCCATGGGCTGATGGACTCAGAGTGAATCCTGACTGAGGTGTGCAGTTTCAGTACTTCTACCCTGTGAGCCTTGCGGACTTCTTCTCTCTGAAGAGCATGGCACCTGTATCCTGCTTGCTGGCCATGGAGCCTCAGCCAGACAGAGTGTGAAGTCCCTTCATAAGCTCTGAGGGCCTGTGAGGTTGGGTTTAGACCCGTATCAGCTCATGGTTCACACATGTAATGTTTGATGGCTATTCATTGGCAAGTCTGTTGATTGCTGAAAGGTACTTCTGATTCGAAATGGTCCCGGCTTGATTGCAAAGAAATGCGGTCAGAACAAGGCGATCATGAAGTTGTCTGGGCTCGGCTGCCAACTCCTCCCACTGGCTACCTTTTACCTTCTGATACTGGTCTGCGGCATACCTATGCAAGCGCTCAGTGAGACTGGCTGGACCTTCCCCGCACAGGCAGGCCGATCTTTCTGGGGCTTGTGGACTACCTATAGTCTGAGCGATGCAGATGCTGCCGTCTTGCTGTCCAATGTCTCTTCCATGCTCATGCTGGTTATCATGTCGGTGCTATGTACGATGACCGGTGTCCTGGGCATCACTGGAAAATTTGCATCGGGCCCTGACGGAGACCCGGCGCCTATGGAGGTGCTGGACTTCGACGCTGAGCTTACCACCGTGGGTTTTGGCTCCCTTTTGACAGGTGCGGAGTGTCCGAAAGGAGGGGTTTCTAGGTAGAATACGCTTCGCTTGAACGCAATAGTTTCAATAGTTTCCATTTCATATTCTACTTTCTTGTCGATTTGATTCTTCATTCTTCCTCTAGTGATCCGTATATCCTATTCAAACCTTGTATGATCCTTCTATGTATATCCATATATACGACTGATGAGAAGTCCAGGCCTGACCCATGGCGTTGTTACCTTCCACCGCCTGGGTAGTTCCATCCAGCTACGCATGGATGGCGGCACTCATCGCCTGGCTGTTCTGACATCCTCTGTCTTTGTGGGCATCTTCTTCTTCACCAACGTGCCCTTGGGCCATTTCATCCCGAAGTTCTTCCTGGGCGGCCTCTTCATGGGCAGCGGGGTGAGCTTCCTTGAGAGTGCCTTCCTTTCGTGCCCTACCCAAAAAAAGTCTTGAAAGGCTCCTACAATCTGCGAGTGATAAGTGCTAAGGTTTCGCAGCCTGGCGCCTCTCTGGGTGTTTGGCTACAGATTACCTTCATTGCAGTGCCTGAGCTGTACCAGCAGCAAGATTCAGGCCTTGGGGTCTCCGTGACTTTTTCTGTGTCAGGTACTGGGTGACTGTGGCCTGCATTCTTGTGGCCGCCCTCAGCTCACCCTTTCAAGGCATTGGGGCTGGCTTAGCCCTTAGTCTGGGCATCTTCCTCTACGACAGCTCCTTGGCCACAAGTTGCAAACACTGGCACGGGCCATCCTCCTAGTGAAGCTTTTTGTGAAGTTGTTGAGGCACGCAGTCCTTGCCAGTGGACAGCATGCTACTTGGCCGCAGGGAAACAGCGGGGATCGGCTGCTTCACTGGTTCAACTGACGCTTTCTGACGTCCCAGGTCCACTGGAGACCGGACCATGAGCCGCACGCGCCGGCCCTTCTGGGAGCTGGAGGCCTTGCACACTGAGGGACGACGCATCTTGATTCTCTACTTGCAGGCAGGGGTAGAAGCTACACTTGAACCCTTAACCCTAAATTCTAAGCCCTCAACCCTTAACCCTATAAATAAACCCCACACCCTGGGTTTTTCAGAAGTGTTTGAAGTGCCAAGTCTTGCAGGGCCAGCTCTTCTTCGGATCTGGCCAGACACTGGCAGCCAGTCTGGTGGAGACCATTGAAGGGGCCCGCAGGTCAGGGTCTCAAGGTCCCATGTGTGCGGCTGCATGTCAAACTTTTCTGGGAGGCCTGTGCCGCCTGAATTCTGCATCCTCAGCTTCGGGAGCCTCGGAGCGCAGTAAGCAAATATTGTAGTATATTACATTACTGTAATATGATATTCTACTGTATCATATTATATTGTATTGTATTATGTTGTGTTTTAGTATATTGTATTATATTATATTGTATTTGATATTATACTATATTGTATTATATTATATTGTATTATATTATATTATGTTATATTACGTTATCTTATATTGCAGTTTCCGCACATTGCCACTGATACCTTCTGTGCCAAGGAAGGTGTCAAGCATCGATGCCTCTGCTGCTGAACAGCTCAAGACTGCCGTGAAACGTGTGGCTACCCTGGGCTGCAAGGCGGCTGCTGCAATTGTCCACCTTAGGTGGACCCCCCACCCAGTAATAGTGACTATAGGGGATAATAGGGATTATATTAGGGTCCTCTTGTATTCCTATTATAGCACTATTACAGGGTGGGGGGTCCTCCTAATGTCCACCAATTGTGATTACTTTCCTTGCGCTGGTGCTTGAGCTCGATCTGGAAATTACCATTTCTCGTCTTTGTCTATGAGTGGGCAGACTGGCCAGTAGCCCGTAACCCCTAGATAGCCCCTATATAACCCTTATATAAACCTATATAATATAGTAGTCTCCATTTTCTTTTCCATTTTCTCTACACAACCGACTAGTCAAACCGAGCTGGCTCAGACAACAGCCATTCAGAAACTTAAAGTTGGAGCCTGCGCGATTCGGATAGTCAATCAAAAAAAGGTCCCGCCACACTTGTACGAGCTGTAGATGGTCCAGCTCCTATCTTGAGCTGTGGGGAGAGCCCATGCAAAGTAGCCATATAATACCTCTGGACCCTACATGGGGTTTGGGCGTGCGATGTGCGGCTCCGCCCTGCCATTTCCCATGAATGCGTCGTAGTCAAAGAAGTGAACTCCCCAAGCACTTGTAGAAATGTAGTTATGACAGTCGTGATGGGCATCAACATAGTAGAGCCCAACACCAGGTAAGCAGAAACACCGGCCTGTCATCACGAGGTTCATGTTATCCATGCTGCGTTCTAGATGGCGTGACTGAACAATCGAGCCTCAACAAGACCATTTCACACATTGGTTTGAGGCTGTTTTTGAAGTTGCTGTAGGGTTTCTGAAATTCACTTTGCGGTCATGGCAGAGGCTCACATTCTGTTTTTGGAATCTGTTCTTTCAGGCCCTGCCTGTCCAGTTGTGTTTGCAGGAGTTTGCAACTTCCGGGCTCTGACCGCCATGAATCCACAAGTGCAAATCACGCGAACGATTTGATCACACCACACAGGATCATTGTCGCTATGCAGATTGCTTCCTGAAGCTCTTCCTCTACTGGCGAGAACCTATGTGCAGATTCTGAGCTAGGTAATCCGCAACACCCAACTTCGTTTGAGCGAGTTTCAGTGAAGCACCTGGCCGAACCTGGTCATCAACAGCCCCTTGTGAGCATAATGTTTCCTTTGTCAGTTTCAGAGCCTGCAGGTCCCGATTGCAGAAATCAGTGCATTCTGGCAAAAAGCAGTCTGTATCAACTGCCGGAATCCTGCACTCTTGCATCGCATCATCCGCAAAAATGAACCTCCCGCACACGGCCACGGAATTCTCCGGTTGCAAGCGTTCCCTGACAGGTTCTCTTCTGCCGAATGAACTCGCAGGTCTTCGAGGCCCTCTCGGTGGGCTGCGTAGCCTCCTGGCCAGGATTCTGTGCGGTTTCAGGGAAGCCATCAGGCTACAGCTACGCTTCTAGGGACAAGGACTATTTTCAAACTGCAGAGGTAGGACCGGCCATTTCCTGTGACAGCCCTGTCGGTTTCCTGCTTTTCATTTGCTTGTTAGCATGCTACTTGAACCCTGGGAAGTTTGAACTTGAGAAGCCCGTCGCCTGAGGTGAAGTCCCCGGACGCCGACCTGCGCGAACTCCTAGGCCTGAGCTTCGGCGGCAAGTTTATGTAAGGAACTTACTTTAAGTTCTGTTATCCCCCTACAATGGAGAATCAAATGGAAAAGAAAGTGGAAAATGAAATGGACACTGGGGGAATATAGGGATTTAAAGAGTTTATGTAGCCAGGTGGGCAAGGACCAAAAAGCTGCGGCTCTGGCGTCAGAACACGGCAATATATATATATATATACACATAGATGTATACACCCAATATAACCCCTATATAATTTAGTAGTTTCCATTTTCTTTCCATTATCCCTTTATAACCCCAATATACTATGATATAGTAGTTTCCATTTCTTTTCCATTATCGCTATAGAACCCCAATATACTATAATATAATACCTTCCATTTTCTTTTCCATCATCCCTAGAGAACCCCGATATACTATAATATAGTAGTTTCCATTTTCTTTTCCATTATCCCTATATAACCCCAATATATAGCCTTGGCCGAGGCACATGCGAGGTGATTCGTCGGACGACGGGAGCTGGCAGGATGGGGATTGGGGGTTATATAGGGGTATAATATTTTCAGGGGTTCTTTAGGGGTTATATGTGGATAATGGAAAATAGTATGGAAACTGCATTATTATAGGGGTTACATGGGGGGTTTGGGCTGGGTCGGTCTGCCCGAAGGGGCTTTGTGTCAGGTTGGTCTGAGGCGGTTGGTCTGAGGCAAGAACGTGAGAAGTAGCATGTGGTTTGGGTTAAGGACTGTACCCACTCAGGGCTTGCTATCACATGTTTGCTCAAGCAAGGACATGGCAGCTCCTAGTATGCATCAGCATGAGCATTGCACCACGCGACTCGTGATAGGCTTGTTTCTATTTTTTGAATGTTTCCCACAGGAATCTCCAAGCCCAGTTCCTGAGCTCAACGAGATGGAAGCAAACAGTCTCTGGGCTGCAACATGAGTTGCCGCGGCGCACAAGCTGGTGGATGCTTGCATGCAGTTGTCCTAGCTCAGGCCCGACGGGTAAAAGTGACCTGAACTGTTGGGCAAAGATGAGGCCATTCAAACCATTAGGCCGGGGTCTGGTTTTAATTGCATACTTCTGTGAGCTGCAAATGAGGGTAAAGGGTGACTGAACTGAAAGCTGGCTGCCGCTGCTGACAGGACAGGAAGACTATGATGCCTTTGACGATTTGACGCTGGGCTGAAAGTGCCATGCTTGTCGGATGTGGCCTGTTTCGTCTGCCAGTGCTAGCAGGTTACTTATCATCCAATAATTAGGAGTTTTTTTTTCGGGGATGCATATAGTAAGAAATATGGTATGTGCGGTGTTACATGGTGTCACCTGATCTGTTGAAACCCCCATATGTAGCGTCAGCATGTTGTGAGTGAATGATCCAGTGCCAGCTGCTTGCATTTTTGGCTCCAGGACAGATGCCCTCGACTACACGGGTGACCAAGTCCTGGAGAGATACCTCTACAACGGCAAGCTGCAAACTTTCATGCTGGAGCAACTGCAATGCAGGAATGCCTGTGCTGAGAGCAAGAGGGGTTTGGGGCAGAGCTTGGCCGATGATTCCGGAAAGTGGGGCACAGCTGCGTCTTCGTCGTTTCCTGCCCAGGTATCGAGGAGCTTGCTCGACTGGGTCGCGTCTTGGCCAGGCTGCCTTTGAAGCCATGAACCTGCTGCCCGCAGGCCGCAACTGCAACAGCCATGAGCAGCCGATCTCAACATGGAGTACGGTACGATTCCACTTTGCTTAAAGTTGACTGACCCTGATAAATAGGCTTCCTTGGCCGGCTCCAGCCTCATTGTGCCGTTGAGCGCAGCCTCGCATCCGGACTGGGTGAGGGAGTACGTAAGTTTTTCTTGAAAGTTTGGCACATTGAGAAGAGCATCAGCAACCAAAAGTCAGCTGCCATATCTTTGGCTGACCCAGCCATAGCGCTGACATTGCCTTCTGGCACAGGCTGCATGTGAATGAGGAAGGTTTGGCAGGCGTTTGAAGAAGCCATTATCTAGCCGAGATGCAGCAAGCAAACAGCACATCGTATCAGGATCTACAGTCCTCTGAGCGGTATGCACCTTTGGCAGGACACCATCTTCCTGGTTCGGATGCGCTTTTCCTGATACTGCAAGGCACCGACTTTTACAGATCTTGACGCTAACGTGAAGCGGCTGGGTATTTTGCAGTTGGTCACGGTGTTGCAGTATTCAAAGGTTACAAAGCCAGAATGCATCGACTTTCTCCAGCACCTGCTTCATCGGTCTTGAAGGGCGCCAGGTTGCCATGGCGGTACTTCCGTAGATAAGGGTTGAAGTATTGGCAAGCAAGCAGCGCCGATGCACTTTTCTGGAATCATGCTCCTTAGAGTTTAGGCCGATGCTTCCCGAGGTGCAGTTGCGATGGTGGAGCTGCCAGAGGAAGCTTGCCTGTATGAGGGGAAGCCGAAGTCAGCAGATTTTTTTTCAAGAGCCAGCCACAGGTCCAGCAATTGTGTCAGCCAAGGAGGGCATGGATTCCAGAAGCAGCCAAGTCCTCATGAAAGGCAGCGGGGCTGTGGAGGCTATTTAACTTTTTGGATTGGATTCCATTTGCATTTTTTGCTTTAGGGGTCAGCAATGACAACGATGTCAACCCTCAACCCTTCCAAGAGGTTCGCTTGAATATCGTACCAATAACCGCGAAAACATGAAAGGCAAGGGAAGGCACGTGAAACATAAAGGAAACGGGCAGAGAATATACGGACACCTTGAAACAAAGAATACAACCTTGATGATTTCTGCGTTGGGGCCCGGCAGTCGAGACAAGCCACTCTAGCGTAAGGGTTGCGGCAGCTCGGCCGCAGAGAATGCGACTGGGACACCTACTAGCACCCAGTGTGCGTATCTTGATACTTGTCTTTAAAGATGCAGCCCCTTGCAGGCTGTGCTGCACTTCAACGGAGCAATAACTTTGCACCGCTAGTGAACCGATGCCCCACGCCATTGGAAGCGTCGCTCGTCCGCCTGCGTTCCAAACGCGCGGAGAGTCATGGAAAATTGTGCAAGGAGTGTTCATTTTTGCAGGCGGTTTCAGAATGGATGGAGCGGCATGGGTACTGGGAGTAGGCGCGATAGGACTAGGACGTAAGTTCGTAACGAAATGGCTCCTCTTGAATCCCAGCATATATCCCAACCCTTTCTCAGATAGATCGACGGGTAGAAAGTTTTGTCGCACTTGCATGTTTCTACATAGCGGAGGACACCGAGTGCTGAACAGCTCCTTTTCCCTGGCCTCTAGCAGAGGAGTTATCGCGCCGGAATAACATTACAATGATTCAAAATGCTGTAGTTGTTTGGCACGAAGGAATTGAGGCCCTGTGGTGCTGGAGGAGACTGAGGGGACGGGAGGTTGGCACGTTTACAGTCGAAGAGTGGCAGTGCGACGGATTTTCCGCCTGCCGCAGCAGATGGAATGTAGACGGCTAATGGAGTGGCTTTTCGTGGTTTTCCCTTGAAACCTTTCCGATGTATCAATCACAGTATACCCTGTCAAGCCGTCATCGTGGACAAGGCCTCCAATCCCTTCCAGTTCGTCGTGGCACGCAGTCAAGCTCAGTATCTATCTGACAGGAATCCTTGGATTTGATTGCTCTTTGTTGCACTAGCCCAACTCTTCTGCAAGCCGATCTCCTAACACCCAGCATAAACCCTGGATCTTGAATCCGACGCTAAAGCCATGCTAAGCTCCAAACAGTCATAGATGTACCCCACAAAGGCTCAGCTCTAGTTGAATGAGAAAAGCAGAAAGTTCTCAGACCACCCATGCTTAGTTCAAGACCTAGAAGTTCTACAGTGTGTGAACTACTCTTTACACCCTCTGCGATTTTACACGCACCACAGATGTCGAACCAATCCTCCCCAAAACCTCTTGCCAAATCTTCCTACCCTAAACCGATAGGCATTTTTTTGCAAACTGCTATATGCCACATGCGGCTTAGCCTTTGTAGGAGCACAGCCCTCCTGCTGGCTCATTGGTCGAGACAGGGATCCCCTGTCTGCCCCAAACCCCGATGCGAGGCTTTCAGGGGCGCCGCGGCACGCGGCTCATGAGGAGATACCCGTCCCTCGCAACAAGAAGCACGTTTTTTCTTTAGAACTTGCCTTGGTGGCAGAAAGCTCAGACACTTGTTGGGTTCCCACTGGTGTATTAGTGGAACCTCAGGAACCGTCACGCAACGGAAGGGTTTCAGTAATTGCCTCAGTCCTAAACCGTAAATAACACAATCATCTCCATTTTCTTTTTCCAATGCCCTAGATAATGCTGTAAAAATGCCCTTAACCCTTAACCCTAAATAATAGAGTGGTCTCCCTTTTCTTTCCATTACCGCTGTTCAACCCTATAGGATAGCTTGAACCCTTCACCCTGAGCCCCAACCCCTAAACCCTAAACTCTCCGCTGGTTTCAAAAAAACCCAAACCCTTAAGCCTGATCCCCAAACCCCCCATGCAGGCGTAAAAGGCTGTTGCAAAAAAAAACCTTAACCCTAAACCCCAAACCCTAAAGACGCGCGCTCGGCCCTAAGGGCTGTTTCTGAAGCTTGCATCAGAAAAGGAGCGCTGCAAAAAAAAAAACAAAAAAAATCTAACCCCTAAACCCTAAACCCCTCAATCCTGAATGGTGAGTGAGTTCGAGCACAGCTCGAAGTTCGGGGCCGAGGCCTGGAAGTTGTATTGGCATCCACGAGTTCCTCCTCACAGGCCGCTTGGTTTGGGGTTATGTAGGGAATGGGAGTGGGGTTTAAGGTTCATTTTGGGGATGAAGTTCCTTTAAAGGGATTATGTAGGGTTACAAAGGGGAGCTAAAATTTAGGGTTTAGTCTCTGTGTAGGTGTCTGCTCGTATTTGTGGCATCCGTGGGTCAGAGCGCAACATGTGCAAAGCTAAGGTTGCAACAGGCTCACTCGAACCACGACCAAGTGGGTGGTTTCAAGCTCTTCGGACACGAAATATGACAGGACAGAACAAGTAAATGGTGCTCCCCTCAAAATTCTGCTGGTGCACATTTCATCGCTTCCCTGTCGTAACCAGGGCTAAAGCTCCAGATCCTGAACTTTGCCGTGGATTCTGAAACCCCCAAACCCTCAATAGTAGGTTCCATTGTCTTTTCCATAATTTCCCCCATATAACCATACTTATTGGGGTATTGAGTCAGCCTAGCCATTCTTCCAAGGAGAGCTTCGTTGTCCATGGATGGTCCTCAAAGCAAACCGGGGGATACACGGGGGCATATGGGGGTCATATAGGGGTATTTGGAAACCCTCGGAGGGCCGGCAAAAGAATTGTGCAAGCTGCAAGCTAAGTGCACCTCCTCTGAGGCAAATTTGGCTATTCAACGGAGGTCTGGTGCTTGAGCAGAGAAGCATGGAAATCAATGGCAGAGGACAGGTTCCGTGACAAAATCAAGCTTTGCTGTATACCCTAAACCCTAAACCCTACACTCTATTCTAGTTGTTTGGGGCCCAATATACCAACCCCTAAACCCTACATTTTTAGAAGGCAGAGGTGACACGGGATCTCTCTCAGCCACACGCAGGCTGCATCCGCATCGCGTTGCGCAGGACCTTAAGCAGATCCTCAGCGAATGGTGCCTGCGGCAGTTAGCCGAGGCCCGTGCTGTGTGAAACCTTAGACCCTCTGCTTCAAGTGGACGGTCTGCTATTGCAGGATCTGCAAATAGAAGGCTTGCGTGGGGCCACAGACGGACTCTAGCTGGAACGGAAAGTAACGCAGCACGGCGAGTGACATCCTGTGTGAGTTGAAGTGCCAGGAAGAGCAGCATTCGCTGCTCACGGGCTTCTGAGGGCCCAAAGTGGCTCTAGAGCAATCGCTTTGCTAAAGCTTCGCGAAAAGGGAGTTCTGCAACATGGAGCAGAGGCAGCAGATGCGTTTGCAAGCCCTAGGCCCTTGCAAGCGCCGTGACGGAGGTTGCAAGTGCCCTCCAGGAGCCGTGAGCCTTGCAAAAAACCGAAACGCTATTTTGTGATCGATGCTTTTAACATGAACTTGACTTATCTGTGGTTCGTCTCACAAATACAGGTCGCACCTTTGAAAGTAGTCCTTGTTTCAGCACCTAGAGATGTTGACAGCGGATTTGTCTTTGCGCAGCGGGATGTGGCTTTGTCCGAATGAACTTCAGGACTTTGGCCAGGAATCGGAGGACTGAGCGTTCTTGTTCATGTCTCAAGATCAGTACCGCTTTTGGTTTGATAGTGAGGGGCGGGATGCCAGCTTGTGATCGCAGTTTCTTCTGGAGGAAGCAGAGGGACTGAGCCTGCGTTGCGTCAAGGGCGAGGAGGTGGAGGCGGGACTCCTGGTGACTGTCGGATGTTGAAGCATCCTATTCAGTGCAAGCTGGTCAAGGATCAATGTGCGTCTTTATACAGAGGTCTGGATGTTTTGCAAGAAAGCGTTTGTAGACCACAAAGTTCAAAGTCTGCTATCTCAAGTGTGTTAGTGACCCTGAGTTGAACACAGGTGATCCTGCGCCACTACAGCGGATGGACACTCTGCCGGAAGCCGCAGCCAGGAGGAGGCCAAGCTTAGATGGGCACGCTGGGTAGCAGAGACACTTGCTAGCTGCCAACTCAATGTGCACTTTCTTTGGGTTGATTTGGTAGAGTCAGTGCTCGGATGTGTCTCTGCCTCAACCATATCTCTTTCTGCTCAGCTCTTTGCCCCACCTTCAATTGCTCAAAGGCTCAAGCTTGTAATTGCTGCATTGCATGTGGGGTAGGAGAAAGGAGCACGCGCATGTCAGGGCTGAGTAGGTTAGGAACAGCCGCGTGCTGCAGACATTGCATGTCTACAGTAGGGGTTTTGTTGAGTGTGTGCTTGGTATTCAGCCCTGGAAGCTCCAAGCGCAGATGAGAGCTGCAATGCGAAGAGCTTTGACCAAAGTGGCTGTGATGATGATGGCAGCGATATCCCTGTGTGATGTGCGGTCATTTGCACTCACTGGATGGGATGCTGCAGTTGAACAGGCTGTTCCCGGCAGCAGGCTTCGATGTCGCCAGGACCAGGTTTGGTGTTACGGGCAAGTCCTGGAGGCCTCACAGCAGGAGCTCCTCGTTCAATGGGATGATGAGAGAAAAGGCCCTGAGAAGATTGGTCCATCCAC